GACCTTCCAGTCAGCCATATCTCTTCAAGAAGTGATTGCAAGAAATGACTGCCACAGAGTTTCCAGTTCTTCCCATAAGTGACATAATGCCATTGTCTGACAGTGCATGTAAATACTGTGTGAGAGGGGAAACAAACAATGCAGTTAAGAAGCCAAGCTGAAGCAAAAACCCAGTGCAGAAAAGTTCATCTAGTATATTTTAGGTGGGGAGAAGCCCTTCTGGCTCTGAAGCATCTGAACCAAGACAAAAAACAAGGTGATTTGGAGCAAACCTGCAGAGCCAAAGCAATAGGACTTGAATGATTCAGACATTCTTTTTCACTTTGAAAAAGGAAAGAATCACTGCATAAAAATGCAAGGCGATTTTCAAGACCGTGAGAGGGTTCTCTGTGGCATTTCCTGCAGCAAGGCCTCAGCTGTGTCCAGTGGTTTGCCAGTGCAGTTCTCAAAACACAAGTGTTTGGCTTTGTCCTGAGCACAGGCCTGCCTATCAGATCAATAACAGCTCTGTTATTTTTAAAGGATAAGAAGTTTATGGTTGTGTTTCACATCCCCCTATGTAAGAGGGCCATGACTCAAACGTAAGGAATTCCAGCTGACTGCCTCTCATAAACCTTACTTTTAAAAATGAAAACAACTCCTTTGCTGGATATTGCTGCAGGAAAAAGTGGGAACAATGGACACACTGAAAGACCACGACAGAGGCTGGTTGTCCAGCTCCTGCACGCCACTTGCTCTTAGGGTTGCCAACAGACCTGGAGAAAGATGCCCCCATCCTTTAAATGGTGACTGACTAGGATGTTCTTTACCAGGTGATGCTACATGCCTTCCATGGAAAGCTTCCCCTGCCCACTCCCACGCTTCAAGCCTCTGATAAAGGGACAGGACATTTTTTCTCCAGGTCTGTTGGGAACACAAGTTGCTCCACACAGCACAACTGAAGGCATCTAGAATCAAGCCCTGGTTCACCATGAGCTATGAATGCAGGCATGTGGGATACTCAGCAATGCATCTGCATCGGTCCGGCAGAGGGGGAGGTGGTGTTGCTGTAGCTTGTTGGGATTCTATCCCCCAGGCTTGATGCCCTGCCCAGGACTCTGCCAGTTCTGAGAGTGTCCATCTGGTGACAGAAGTCAGGGCCAGCATCAGCATACAGCTGCGTGAGATACTTTTCAGCTTGTTCAATCTGAGGACGTGGACAAAAGTCTTGAAAGTTTAAGACCTATCACCCAGTTGAAAGTTTAAGACCTATCACCCACCTTGCCCCTCCTGGATACTGAAAACCAGTGTTCCCTCTAAGCTGAGTTAGTGTGAGCTAGCTCACAGATTTTTAGCCTCCGGCTCACACATTTTTATCTTAGCTCAGGAAGGGATGGCTCCAGAGCGAACTAACTTATGCAGTAGCCAAATCACTCGCTCACAACTTTAATGCCATTAGCTCACAGAGTAGAATTTTTGCTCATGAGACTCCACAGCTTAGAGGGAACATTGCTTAAAATTGCCTAGGAGAGGGGCTAGTGGATCGTAAATGCCTCTATGAGAGAATAGGTGCTTACTTCTGCATTGAGATGGGCACTGATGGACCCACTTCTGAAGATACCTACTCTGGACACAGCAGAGTTGAATAACTACTGTCCAGTCTCAAATGTACCATTCTTGAGCAAGGTGATTAAGTGAGTGTTGGCTGGGAAACTTCAGGGATTCAGGAATGAAGTGGATTGTTTGGATACATTCTGGTCTGGTTTTTGACCTGGTCATGGGTGGATGACCTGCACCTGGTCGTGGTGGATGACTTGCACCAGGAGATGGACAGGGGAGTATGACCGTATTAATTCTCCTAGACCTCTCAGCAGTTTTTGATACTGTTGATTATTTATTTATTATTTATTTTATTTTATTACATTTATACCCCCCCCCCCACGAACGGGCTCAGGGACTGCCTTCTGGACTGCCTTTCAGGTTTGGGACTAGAAGGTCAATTTCAGACTGTGGTGCTGGGGGACTGCTGCTTCACCACTTGGCCTCTCAGATTCTACAAAATTCTATAATTACCCATGCTGTTCAACACCTGTGTAAAGGCTCTGGGAGACATCATCCAGAGATTTGGGCTGAGGTGCCACCAATATGCTCTCAGGTGAGACCTGTAAATGACTCTGAGCCTCTTAAAGGTAAATTTCAGGTGCACAGAGGCGCAAATTGGTTAACAGCCAGGTTAAGAGGGATGTTTAATCTTTCCAATCCTCCATGGTGTTGCCCATTATTACATCTTTGTGCCACTAAAACCACAGCTGTTGACTTTCAACTCACCATTCAGGGGAAAAGGAACACAGGAACCTTGCAAAAAAAAAGAGGTAACAACACTACCCTCTAACAGTGCATTCCTAAGTAGAGTTCCACCCGTATAGGGATTTCAGTGGATTAAGAAGAGGGGAATGCTGTTTAGGATTGTACTGTTAGTTCCTCCTCTTTTTTATTTTCCTAGTGCATTTAAATAGATGATGCTGACATGGCCCGATCTTTTATAATTTTCTCTCACACATGCAAAGTTGTAAAATAAAAATGCAGTATGTGACAGAGCAAAAATTGCAAACAATTGAAGTTCTACAGACAAATTTGTTATAATTGTCTTGCATCTCTATGTCTACGTTACTGTTACTACTACTCCAGAATAGAAGGGATAGATCCCTCTTGAAAATTCTGGGAATTTTACGGGTGGGATGCCAGTAGAGGCAGCTAGGAACTATGAAGCAACAGGCACAAAGTTTCATTCAGTAGCTGGGACCCAATGAAAGGAAGAAAAATCAGATCTTGGGTCCTGCAGTGTTTGCAACAGAACTATTCCTTGATCCAGCCCATTATTTCAGAATGTCTGGACTGAGTCCATTCAGTAATGCGTTCCAAATTTTGTACTGGTTTGGCAGGACAAAGGGTACTCTGAGAAGAATGAGCCAGGGATTGTTTTGCTGTATAGATCTATAGGGCTAGAGACATGCAATTCTGCCGCTGGTTTGGCATTTGAAGCATCAAGGCTCTTATTGCTGAGATTCATGAAGACTTATTTCTCAGGACCCGCTTGCAAACACAAAAAATGGGACCAACTGAATTACATACATTGATCCTTGACAGTTGCACAGTTGTATTTAACAGCCTTCCTGAAGCACAAAAAGAGTCACATTGCTGTGAGTGGGCAGGGTGTGGCAGCTGAGGAAATATGCAACTAAAAATAAACGATTAGTCATTGAGGCTCTGCAAGCCTAGGAGAAACCCCATCCTATGGTGGCATCTTGAAGCAGTTAGTCATCTGAGGGTTATTGTAATTAGAGGCTGTCTCGCTCTTTCACCATTTTCATTACTAGCATGGTTTCTAGTTCTGCTTTCAGCCTGCCTGATCTAAAACTTCTTAACCATTTCAGGATCTGAAGCATGTGTACTGTTTTGTGTCAAATCCTACAGGTACCTTTGCTTTTAGGAGCATCAGACTCCACAAAGCAGGCCTCAACTTGTCAATCAGTTGGCTGATTTGCCCAGAATCTTGATTAGGGTTGCCAGGTCCTTCCTCGTCGCCAGTGGGGGGACTTTGGGGGGTGTTCCTGGAGGGGGCATGGACATCCCCAAAATGATGACATCATACAGAAGTGACATCATCACACTGGGGATCAGCACCCTGCACACCTGAGCTCCAAGCTGCAAATTCGCCAGTGGAGTTCAGGTCCCACCCCCCACCCCCACTTCTTGCAAGAAGTAGGGGTGGTGTGGGCCTGAACACCAAACAACGAATTCACTGCTAGAGTTCAGGCATGCCCCCCCCCCCCACTTAGAAGGGCCCTCTAGAGTGGTACCTTCAACACATCTCCAACAATCCCCCTATCTACTAGCCCAGTCCTGCTGTATACCACTTAGGTCATGGTGAATCTTTCAAAAGCACCCCCATGAGCCTTTGGGGAACATGCAAATTAAGGGGGGATGATTGGGAAACTGCTGAAGGTATCATGAAGGGGCATGAACATTTTAATACACAAACACACACACACAATGCAGGTACCTATCCTTTTCTCCACCTGGGTTTAATATATGGGAGGGTTGTGATAACGTAAATGACATGAAGAAAGATCGACACCCACTTTCCTTGTACTATGGCACCAGTCCATATTAGCCCTCTCACATTACTGGGTTTTTTTGCAAATTAATTACATGTCAGGAACCCTGAGTGTCCCTAAAATGGCTTAAGCTTGTCACAAGATGGAGGTGGTAAAAACAAGTCTGAAAGGTGAAATTATAGGTCCAAATATGGTCTGAGGCCTAGTGAATTCACACTTATCAGTTGAAGGACTTGGGAGTTATTGCCTGCCTCTACAAACTGTTGTTTAGCACACTTCAAATAATTACACTGCTTCTCTTTACTAACTGAACTAAATATCTGAGGTTTTTAAAATCAGAATTGTGTTTCATTATGGTCAGTGCCTCTTGAGGATTCTTTGCAAAAATCCAGTGATGAAATTAGTTTTTGGCAAAATTGCCCCTGCTCTTTGAACTTTAATTATTACAGAGCATTATCCTGATGGAGAAATTAGTCCCTTTACAATGTCAAGTTGTTTTTATTTCATAGCTCAAAAGCTATGAACAAAAGGACCGCTTTATTTTTGTGTATTTTAAAGCTGTAAGAAATATATAAAGTGTAAAGGGAAATAAAAATATCCATAGATTTTGGGACCTGTGTTGGGGGACCATGACTGGCCACCGTTTTGAGACACACATTTTTTTCTTCACATTCTATGTACTTGTCGTATTATGTGTTTCATGCACCTAAACTGACATGTGCCCATCCTGGGCTTTTGCAAGAAGTGTGAAGTGAAATGGCTTATAGCTTCCTGGGCTTGTATCACAGCTTTCCCTTTTCATAAATCATGGTGGGAGGCAGAGTTCCAAGTTGACTCACTCTTGCTCACTTTTTGCTATTCAGCTCTTACACTACGTAGCAACAAGGAAATCATTTGTCATACCTTTATATTGTCACGTTCACAGTTTGCGCCTCCTTCCACACTCAGTGCTGTAAAGCTATAGTTGAGGGTGTTACCAGAAGTTGCTTGGATGGTCCAGTTGCAGTAAGCACTTGCAGGATACTTACTGGGATAGTTTAAACTCTCCAGGATGCCCCAGCTACGGTTAGCTATTACAACTCCTTGGCAAACTGGGGAAAAGAAAACAACATCCCCAGTTATAATGTTGTGGGGCTCAACTGTATCACAGTGAATCTGTAGTTTCATATTGTACTCAACTTAAAACAGCATTTTGGAACATTAACAGAAAATGATAGAGAAGCATACACTGAATGTTGAAAGGAATATAGTTTTAAAAGGGACAGAGGCTCCCTATAAAAAGAGTAACCAAGAATGACTAAAGTTCAGCACACACTTAGGGCTGATAGTCATGTGCATGTTGAGTGCTTGATGACCACGTATCATGTAGGATTGTCCAGCCTCCAAGTGGTGTCTGGAGAGCTCCTAGAATTACAGCTATACAGATCAGTTCCCCTAGTGAAAATGGCTGCTTTGGAGGGTGGACTCTATGGCACCATAACTGTCTGAGTTCCCTTCCTTCCCCAAACCCCACCTTCCCCAAGCTCCACCCCCAAAATGTCCAGGAATTTCCCAACCCAGAGCTGGGAACTCTAGTATCATGTGATCACTTAAATGTTTGAATGAGCCATCCCAGATCAAAAATCATCAGCAAGATTTCCTTGATCACACTGGAGTGAGTTCACAAATTCATCTGCAAGATGTCAATGGTAAAGTTATGAGAAATCAGGTCATGTGTTGATATTTGTGAACCAGGCCTCACACATATTTAATCCCAGTAGACTTCCAAAGGACATAAACATACTTCTGTTCTGGTATTAAGAACTGTTGACTTGATTGTGTTTTAACCCATAAAGTATTCCTCCTGCACTAATTTTATCAACTCTAACAAAAGTTCATTAGCTTTGTTATACAGAATTCACTGAGGGCTACACCTTTCTATTTGGGTCCACGTTGCCTGGGAGAAAGGTAGGTTAATAAACATTTAAAATAAATGAATACAGTTGGGGACACTCACAATACTTGCCAAGACAAAAAAAAAATTGCAACCCTCACACTGACCTTTATAATAGATTGGTGGGACAAGGGTAATTTTTGCACCGTCATGCAATATATCTAATTTATGAATTATTTCATGTACATGAAATGGTAGATTTAAACAAGACTTCAAAAAAGATTTTGGGAAAGTAGGCTCTACTAGGTTATATTTTGATGAAAAGAAACACAAGAAAAATACTTTTGGCTCTGTGGGCACTCCAAACATACAAGCTTGATTTAACATTATCAAAATAAATCATGCACAAGAGTTTCATTTTGCCTATTACTGGGAAGTGTAGATGCAGATACTGAAGGACTTTCCCTCAAAATGGTGGAGTGGGATATTTTTGAAAGTGGACAGAACTTATAGTTCACCAACAAATTTCTACTATACACAAAGCATGAGATGCCCCATTCCCTTCTTCCCTGTGGTAGAACAGAGCTGGTTCCACAGGTTTGGTATGGAGGCAGCCATTCATTAATGAGTCGTTGCACTTCTGTGTCTTAAATTTGTTGTGCATCTTTCTTAACAAGACATTTAAATAAATTATGCACCGTGTTTGCCTTTGTCTTAAATACCTAGCCCAGGGGTCCCCAACACGGTGCCCTTGGATGCCATGGTGGCTGCAGACATTTTCCCTAGTGCCCGCCAACTGTTTTTAGAAAGTGGGTGTGGCCAGATGGGGCTTTTGTCTGGCGGATCTTTTGACTGCTACGACAGCCCAAGAATCTTAACTGTTTTTTATTTATTTTATTTATTTAGGCATTTTTACCCCGCCCTCCCTGCGAGCGGGCTCAGGGCGGCTTACAGGGGCAAAAGCCCATGCATAAAATCCAATAAAACAATAAAATCTTAGTAGTAACAATAAGAACAATAAGAACAGTAATAAAGTGCTTTCAGACACAAGATGGTAGTGAGTGGTTATGGTGGTATCTTCAAGTCAGCCCCACTGGGGTACCACTGTCCAGTAGATTGTTCATGCCAGCCACACGTTATTAATGCCGCACAATATATGGCTGAGCTTCCCAGGGCGATCCCGGATCCTGCTGGTATTGCCACCGTTGGTGGTGGTGGCAGCGGCGGCCCCTATGTGAAAGCCTGGCGGAAGAGCTCCGTCTTACAGGCCCTGCGGAACTGCATAAGGTCCCGCAGGGCCCTGATCTCCTCCGGGAGCTCATTCCACCAGGTAGGGGCCGCCACTGAAAAGGATCTAGCCCTGGTCACAGCTAGTTTTACCTCCTGGGGACCTGGAACCACCAAACGGTTTTGGGTCCCCGACCGAAGTGCTCTTGGGGGTATATGCGGGGAAAGGCAGTCCCTCAAGTAGGTCGGACCCTGGCCATATAGGGCTTTAAAGGTAAGTACCAGCACTTTGAAGCGGATTCGGTATGCTATTGGCAGCCAGTGCAGCGCCTTCAGCCCAGGTTGGATGTGCTCCCACTTGGGGAGGCCCATCAGCAACCTGGCCGCCGCATTCTGCACTAGCTGCAGCTTCCGGATCAGCGACAAAGGCAGCCCCATGTAGAGAGCGTTACAGTAGTCTAACCTTGAGGTGACCGTCGCATGGATCACTGTAGCCAGGTCATCGCGGTCGAGGAATGGGGCCAACTGTCGAACCTGCCTCAGATGGTAAAAAGCAGCTCTGGCAGTGGCTTCTACCTGGGCCTCCATGGTTAAGGAGGGATCCAGGAGCACTCCCAAACTCCTAACCTCCGACGTTGGCACCAAAGGCACCATAGAGTTTTCCCTCCGACGAGCGGGGCCATGCCCCCAACGTGATTGACGTGGTTGTGTCACCTCTGGTAACGCAGCCACGCTGCGCTTCGGGGGATGGAGTTCCCCCCGGGGCCCAATTCCGTGGCGGTGGAAATCGGGCCTCCAAAGCAGGGGTTTACCCGCCACCCGCCCCCACTTGGCAGCCCTAGCATGATCTCACTTCCTGACATTTTGTGGTTGGCTCTGCCTTTTGCAAGAGCCATTTTGTGGCTGTACCCACCTCCCTGGGTCAGAATTCCAAAGATGCTCACAGGCTGAAAAAGGCTGGGGACCCCTGACCTGGTCGGACAGCTGGTAGGGCTGGACCTTAAGAGGGTTACACCTTCACCTTAAACTGAGTCACACTAGCAGCACTGCCCTCATTTTCTTCTTTTTGTTTTGTTTTGTTTAGAATGCTTAATAAAGACAGTGAGATGGAAGCAAAGGAGAGACACAGCAAAAGAAAAGATGGGCGCACAGCAGGCTATCAGAAGTGTGCCCCATGCTATGAATTAGGATTAAAGCTGTGTCTGAGATCTGGAAAAGTCTCGTAAATTTTGTGGTTTGGAATGAACATGCTAAAAGAATGTGTAGAGTTTCCAAGTCATGAATTTTAAAAGCCACATACAACGTTTATGGATAACAAATAAATCTGCATGGCTCTTGCTTCTTTAGAGTATTTTCAGAGCAATTTGTTGTACTCTAGAATTATGGTGGTAATATCTACCAAAATAGTCTCATTGGGTCCGTGCATTTTGCGACCCCTGAACTATGCCAATTTCCGACTGATGGAGGTTCTAGGAAATAGGAGGACCTCTAAAACAGGACATGACAGCATGATGTCACAATAGGGTTGCCAACTCCGAGCTGGGCAATTCCTAGAGATTTGAGGGCAGAGTCTGGGGAGGGGGAAGACCTAGGCTAGGGTGTCACCAATATGCAGATGACACCCAGCTATATCTGTTGTTGGGCGGCCAGTCCGACTCTACCCCTGAGGACCTGGATTAGGTGTTTCAGGACGTGGTGGGCTGGCTGAGACTGAGCCGATTGAAATTGAATCCGATGAAGACGGAAGTCCTGTGCCTAAGTCAGAGCGGGCCGAGGTTAAGGATCCCATTACCGACCTTCGATGGGGTGCTGCTGGTGCCAGCGCCGAGGGTCAGGAGTTTGGGAGTGCTCCTGGATGCCACCTTAATGGTGGAGGCCCAGGTAGCAGCCACTGCCAAGGCAGCCTTTTACCATCTATGGCTGATTAGGCAGCTGGTTCCCTTCCTCGAATACAATGACCTGGCAATGGTGATCCACGCAATGGTCACCTCGAGATTAGACTACTGCAATGCTCTCTACATGGGGCTGCCCTTATCCCAAATCCGGAAGCAGCAGCTGGTGCAAAATGCAGCACCCAGGCTGTTGATGGGTCTCTCTATACAAGAGCACATCACACCTGCGCTAAAGGCACTGCACTGGCTGCCAATAGCATACCGGATTCGCTTCAAGGTGCTGGTTTTGACCTTTAAAGCCCTATATGATCCGGGGCCTGCCTACCTGAGGGACCACCTTTCCCCATATGTGCCCCAGAGAGCACTGAGGTCAGGGTCGCAAAATCGCCTGACTCTCCCTGGTCCGAAGGACGCCAGACTTGCCATCACCAGAGCCAGGGCCTTCTCAGTGGCAGCTCCATACTGGTGGAATGAGCTCTCGGAGGGCCTGTAAAACGGAGCTCTTCCACCAGGCCTTCAATTAGGAGCTGCCACTGAGGAATGAGCTACTGAGAACTGAACCATCAAGGTTCATATGCTATGCTATCGGCATTAAGACAACTGGACACTGGCCTACCTATATCGGCCCACCTAAAGCAAACGCCATCTGCGCCAATCGCACTTTATGTATATTATGGTATAAAATTTTATTGTTATGCATTTACGCATTTGTATTTTATTGTATTTTAGTCTGTGTACACCGCCTTGAGCCTGCTTGCGTACACAGCGTAATAAATAAATATAATGCCGTAGAGTCTACCCTGAAAAGCAGCCTTTTTCTCCAGAGGAACTGATCTCTTTCATCTGGGGATCAGCTGTAATTTTGGGAGATCTCCGGCCACCACCTGGAGGTTGGCAACCCTATGTCAGAACAGAGTACTGAACTTGAATGGGAAAAACTGACTTCAGATCCCAGAGACTTTGGGCCCATCACTCTTTCACTCTCAGCTCCCTCACAAGTCATGTTGCCAGCCCAGCAGTGGCACCTGGCGGGAGGTTTAGAGGCTGTGGACAAGCAAATAGGCATCATGCCAACCCCAAAAAGTCACTTCTGGGGTGAACCCAGAAGCGACCTCATTGTGTTGGCAAAACCATAAAGTTTTGGGAATATCCTAGTGCTGTGCCGACTACTGAGTGGCAGCAGGGGACTGTTTCCCATCGGTGTGGGAGACAGGGTTGTTGTGATGATAAAATAGGATGAGCCCATGTTTGTCACCCTGAGCTCTGTGGCGAGAGGGAAGAATATTAAATTAGAATCTGCCTTCCATCCACATGTTACACTGCAGCTCAAGTCTGGTAAAAATCTGGTTCTCAGTACTTTTCCACATACAAAATTCTAATCTTAAATTCTGTGAAGGTATGGAAGGAACTTTTGCACATGAGCAGGAAATAGCGTTGTAAGAATACATGCACAGAAGTTCTATGGCACATTGCTGGTACTTACTTTGCTTATAACGAGCAAGGAATCCTCCGCCTCCTAAAGAAACATCTGTCCTTAGTTTTATATACAAACTGTCCCCAGTAGATCGGATTGTGGGCGGTATCTGATTACCACAAAATTTGCCCAGCATCTTAGCACTGGTACTGTTGCCATCGTAGACCTGCAGATACACACAAAGACACAAGCTGCTGGTAAAATATCACTGCTGACTGCTCAACTGACCACATGCTGATATGGAAAAAACAGACTATGTGAGCGAATTTGCTGTTGCATTTCTTGTATGCTGAAATGACCACCTGAAGAATACTGTGTTATGCAAGATACTATCAAATGTCTGCTGAAAGATATTTCTATTTCAATATTTGCTCCATTATGACACAATATTTTCAGCGTCAGTTGTTACAATATCCCCTAAAACTGTAATGACTGGAGAGGAAATCAGCATTACTTGAAGCAGCGATGTCTCTTCTAGGTGGAAACTCAGAATTGGCATTGACATGTAGAGTGAGTCTCTATTGTTGGTGGTTGCCATGGTCCCCCCCCCCACAAGGATAGTCCAGGATAGCCTGATCTTATCAGCTCTTGGAAGTTAAGCAGAGTTGGCCCTGGTTAGTATTTGGATGGGAGACCACTAAGGAAGTCCCAAGTTGCTATGCAGAGGCAGACAATGGCAAAACTCCTCTGAACATCTGTTGCCTTGAAACTCCTATGGGATCACCCTAAGTCGGCTGTGACTTGATGGCAAAAAAAAAGTTGGCCCCAGCTCTAGAGAAGAGGTTGGGATTGAGAAGAAAGGGTGATGGGTCAAAAGAAAGAAGATGAAAGAAATGCAGTAGAAGGATTTCTCCAAGCCCAAGAATACGGGCAGCCCTATCTGTAGCCTGAGCTTCGGGGGTGTGGTAAGACAGCAGCCCCAACACTGGCAGTGGGGGAAGCATACAGTCCCAGGGATTGGTGTGATCAAGGCTTTGGGTTGTTTTATAGCCTTGTTCCTACCAGGTGTTCAGTTGCCCATGAGCTGGGTTGCTTTCATAGAAAGGCTGAGGTAACACTAGAGACAGTGGCAGCACCTGGGTTTTGGCCACTGTGTGACAGGGAGTGTTGGACTGGATGGGCCACTGGCCTGATCCAACATGGCTACTATTTTGTTCTTATGTCTGGGGCAGAAATACTCTGTCTTCTGGTGCTTGGGGGGGCAACAATGGAAGGCTTCTAGTGTCCTTGCCCCACTGGTGGACCTCCTGATGGCTATTGTGTCAAACAGAGTGTTGAACTGGATGGGCATCTGGCCTGATCCAACATGGCCTTATGTTCTTATGTGCTTAGGAGTATGGGATGCCAAGCTTCCTGACATGGACAATGAAGGGGAAAGCTTTCTTTAACTGGGTGAGTTTAGGAGTGACTAGCAGCAATAGGCTGTCCTCTGAGACCAAGTCATGGAGTCTGTGCAAGATAAGGCTGGTGTCCATGCATCACTATGGGCAGCTGCAATCTCTGCTGCCATGGTGGCACTTTTCCAGCCAATGTGAAAGCAGGAATAGCTCCCTGAGTTATCTCTGTGTAGCAAGTTCAAACAGTACAATTCTCCACAGACATGTCAGCATCAACCCTACTTGTGTGTAGAAAAAAGTTTTTGAGAACTGTCCCTTAGTCAAAGATGATCCAACTGTTTTTGAGTGTACCTATAGAAACTCTCTCTTATGACAATATTGTGATCACCAGCCTTAGTGAGGTAGAATAAACCACTCTACATACATCAACGTAATCAAATTGACAGCTTGCATGAGACTCTAGATGGAATTGATCAAACTGGATTTCAAAGGGGCTTCCATGACTTGACTTCAGCAGCCAGTAGCATTCAGCATTGCGGTGATAGGGCAAAGGGTAGTTGGGAGACATGAAGATTCCAGAAGAAGTTGTAAGGGTTCCACCACAACCTAAAAGAAAAATGCAAAGAAATTCACCTGTACTGATCAGCATCTGTTTTCTCCCACAGTTAATGATTATTGAGACATCTTTTCAATGTGGGAACATTCCTTCATAACATATTTCATTTTCTGTTGGAAATGTTTAAAGTTCCTAATTATACTAATTCTCCCCAAGGAATGTGCAGTTGTTATATAATTTATACCCCTGAGATTATCAATTCCATTTTACAGATGTAGCCCCTTTGAGTTCCCTTCCACATGTGCTGCTACTGCATGGGACCAGTGGGAACACATAGGAGCAGCCTTCCCCATGCTTCTGTTGAGTGGCTCCAAGACTCCCCATCTTGGAGTCAGGCAGCGGCAGAATAAATGGGAGGGGGTCATGCCTCCTCCCTTGCCATGTTCCCATCATTTTGGGCAGCAAAATCAGCTAATTGGCCCCAGGTCCTCCAGTAAGCTTCATGGCAGAATATGGGTTTGAACCTGGTGTGCCAGATCTTAGTCCAACATTTTAACCACCAGACCACACTGACCCTCACACTGTGGCAGACAAGTTGGGAAAACCCTAATATCGTTTATTCCTACTTCCAATTTGAGAAATGGCATTCTACGTTTGGCATTATTTTACCTGTTGATGTTCCATCCCAGTAAGCTGAAAATCCAGTGCTGGTGATAAGTACATCACTTACAAACTTTATCCATAGTTTGTTACTATGGGAGATAGTCATTGGAGGCAAAGTATCTCCACAGTATTTCCCACGTAATGGTGAGGTCTCATAACCACCATCTCTATAATCAGAGAGAACATACGTCAGGGGTTATACTTAATTATACTTCACAGAAGCAGGCAAAATAATTGTCTGACCATTTCACTATGCACTCAGATCGTTATTCTGCCCATGCCCACCACTGAACATGCTCCTCTGAATCAGCACCAACTACCTGCATGAGTTCCAGAGGGGTAGCTATATTATTCCATTGGAGTAACATTAAACAGGAATTGTGCAGCACTTTTTTAAAGACTTGATGAATTTTCATGCTAGCATATGCTTTCATGGACCATTTTGTATGATGCATGTATCAGCAGTTCCATACCCATCTGCATGTCATCCTAAATTTGAATCTATGCTATATAAGCAAATGGGGTAAAAATGTTGAGATACATAAAATCCTATCTTCAATTAAGGGACTTGACCAGATGATACTTCAGGACAGTACTTTAGTGAAAGAGCATATATTTTGCATGCCCAAGTTCTTGGGTACAATTCCTGGCATCTCCAATTAAAAGGAACTCAGGTGGAAGTTCTGGAAAGGACACCTCTGAGTTCCTGAAAAGTCATTGCCAGCCAGAGGAGATGACGCGTAACTAAACTGTGGAGAAAATGATGTGGCATTCATTGATTTACTGTATTTCTATAATGCTTTTGGATGTTCAAACCAGAAACCTGACACATTAAAACATTAACACAAACTCTGTTAAATTCAAGTCAGGACAAAAAGCCAGCCTAAGTAATGCAGACTTACACTGCCACCAAAAATGGTTGAGAAAAGAGGTGTCCCTTACTTCCAACGGGCAGCCCATTCCCTAAGGATAAGACCACCATAGAAAATATTTTTGCCTGACAATCTCTCCCTTTAAGGAGGGGAAAGAAATCAAACCTTGTTGTGAGAATCTTAAGGTCCACCCAGGTTTATATGGGGAGGGGCAGGCCTGCAACTATGAGGGACCCAGACTGTCAAGGGTTTTAAAGGTCAAACCCAGCACCTTGACTTGGAACCAAGGCAAACGGATAACCAGGGCAGCTTCTGTAAACCTGCTGCCATATATATTCTTAATAAAAGGCAATTTCCTGTATGCTCATATAGTGTGCCTCTCTGCCTTACAGTTCTCTTTAAATCTTTCAAATATCACTATAAAGATAGCAAGAATAAAATGCACTTGCCTGATTTCTACATAGTCCCTTGTACAACCTGCACGCTCCAAGGAGAAATTGGTGAAGTGCAAAGCAATCTGTTTGTTGATCCCCACAGTGATCCTGTATATGCACGTCATTCTGTTTGGGTAGTGGTTAGGGTAATTTGGAGACGATACCACACCAGTAGCTTCTGTGTAGTCGTGTGAACATACTTGAAAGAGAATAGAGCAAAGCATCTAAATGACTTGCACTGAATTCTAAAAGTCACAGGAAATAAAGCCACACTGAAAACACCTTCACAGAACACAAAGAAATGGGAAACAGCTCTGCAATTAACAGCAAATTATTTTTGATTGGCCATTGGGTGAAAAGTAAGCTTGCTAAAGCTCCTGTGTAAAACCCAGGATCCATGTAAGATTTCTAATCTTGACATTACTTAGTATACAATTTTACTTTATAGTCTGGACTAAGGGTAGGATTTTGTGGAACCATCCTCTCCAAGAGGCAGGGCCTTCTTGACTGCTGCCCCAGTGCTCTTGAATGCCTTCCCTTGGGTGCCTCACCTAGATCTCTTTCTGTTAATATTGTGCAGACTAGATATGAAAACCATTTTTGTTTCATCTGGCAGAAAATACTGCAAACAATTATTATGTCTGGCTTTTGTTTTCTTTCCTGCTTAGAACATAAAAGCAGCCATGCTGGATAACACCAAACGTCCTCCTTCCTGTTTCACAGAGTGGTCAACTAAATGCCACTGAAGGCCTGCAAGGAGGGCCCAGAGGCAAAGCCTTTCATCATTGCCTCCAGTACTGAACCTTAGAGGCCCAACCAGGCCTTGGTGACTAATGAGCAGGGCTTTTTTTGTAGAAAAAGCCCAGCAGGAACTCATTCGCATAATAGGCCACACCCAACAGCAGGAATCCGTTAGCATATTAGGCCACACCTCTGACAGCACAACTCATTGGCATATTAGGCCACACCTCCATGTTACCAGAAGTGTGGTCATCCAGCCACACCCACCTTTTGCTTCTTATTCTGTTTACCTTGTTTGTTGTCAAAACCCAGGGCTTTTTTGTAGCAGGAACTCCTTTGCATGTTAGGCCACACACCCCTAATGTAGCCAATCCTAATGAGTTTCTGCTGTTGGGTGTGGCCTATTATGCTAATGAGTTCCTGCTGGGCGTGGCAAACTTGGGAGCCAGCTGGAACTCTGTTCCTATGCGTTCCTGCCCAAAAATAGCCCTGCTAATGAGCAATCCCAGGCATCACAATGGCAGAAGCAAGGTGACTCTGTGGCCCTCACATGCCACATAACTCCTGCTATTAAAGGGGAAACTTCCTAGTCCCAGCACTAAAAGGCCTTTAAGTGTAGACACAGTACAAGTTTTGACAATTTAACACTGCAAAATAGGTGCATAATGCTCTTTATACTACGCTTTGCAAACACTTAATCTCATAATTCTTTCCAGTAAAATGTGCAAAAAAGAGAAAACGTGGTTGAGGCTCCCACTGGAAGAAATCAATTAACTACTTATCAAAATGGCCTTTTTTGTTGTGATTCTCCCACAGTACTCAAAGAGGGACTGAGAAATCTAAAAAGCAATTGGACAGTTGTTTGGTATACCCACTTTTGTTAGAAGGGCACTATGTCCAGAAGAAATTAAATACAGATGACTAAATATTAAACATCCTGCTTGGCTAGTGTCTTTTCTTGCAAATCCATCCAACACCATTACAGTAACTGCTCTGTTTTGCATTTTTCCAGTTGGCTCTTGTTGGTATCAAGGCATCCAGCTACTGGATTAAATGCTATTTCTGTGAGTTATGAGCATTATAAATTACGAATTATGAGTGGTTTCCTTTGTCACAAGTTGGTTAATGTCCTGATGTTATTAATAAAAAATTGGTGAAACTGGTGCTCCAACTCATATTTTTAATGTATGACTTTCAGTTAGAAGAGCAAATTTGTACTGAATGGTCATGCACAACTTTGTTTGTGTGAAGACTGCAGGTTCTGATCCAAGTACAAGCTCTCTAAAGGAGTACAAGATGCTCTGAAGGAGAGGGCAAAAAGCAAACCTGGAAGCCCGTAGAGAGTGAAAAGAACATTAAAACACCATTTGGCTGTCTCTTTTCTCATGCACCCTTGTACAATTTGGAAAAAAACTAAAGTTGGGACATCCCCCCCCCCCAAAAAAAAGAGAGTTAGATTTATGCTTTGCCAAAATCCTTCTTTTGAAAAGCCAAATAAAGAGTCTTGCATCACATATGTTTTTTCCCCTTTTAATGTGATCCCTCACTGTCAAAAGAGAATTGCCATTTTCCTGAGAGTACACATGCTCCTTTTGTCCTGATATTTGCCACCTCCTCCAAACCTCCAACTCACCCTTGCATCCCTACCAAACAGAGTCTTTTTACAGGCAACAGGAGAAAATATCGGCACTTGAAGCCCTGCTGGTGCTGGCACATGATAACATAATGAACTGACTTAATTTTACTAACTCAGAAAAGAGAAAGACTGCAAACAAAGATCCTTTGTGAAGGAGTTCAAAAGGAAGCTTGTTCAGAAACAAGACGTTCAAATTGAATGTCCTCTCCAGCTTCAACGGCTTGAGATCCATGCCGTTGCCAAGCGGGACATTAATTGCCAGGCTTTGCCCACTCAAAATCCAGGGAGTAAGCAGAATCGTCTCTTCCCCTGCAGTTATGACTGCTCAGGGTTGCTTAAATTTGCAGCTTTTCTCAGGCCATCCCAACGAGCTACTTCTAACAGGGCATTCTCTGAACTATGGCTCCGGGGACAAATGTGGCTCATTACAGAACCAAATATGGCTGTGTAAGAAAGACATTTAAATCTTGATACTAAATGTATATTGGAGGTGTAGGCTGTATGCAAGAACCACCAGTACGTTAAATGAACGGCACAGGAAGATGTTTGTGAGATTACAGGGTCTCTTAAGGATACTTTACAGAAAAGAAACTGAAAGAGGTGAACAGTTGTCCGTTAAAACACATGACAATGATCAGAAATGTTAAGCCATATATTTTCAACTGTTTAAATGGCAAGACCAGCCTCAGTGAATTGGGGGCCTTGGGCAAAAGTCCAGGATGAGGTCCCAGAATCCCTTCTGCCCCCCACCAGCCCCTTCCTGAGTCACCAGAGACTCAAGAAAGGGGTGGCCCTCACCCCAGGCAAGACAAGCAGGTGCGTGTGGTGGCTGCCAGTACATCTGACTGCGGCCCAGATCCCAGTGAGAGAGGCAAACACAGTGACTGGTGAGCCAACGAGCTGCTATCCAAGTCCTGGAGGTAGGTAGGCGTCCCTGGACACATCTGGCTCTTTCTCTTCTTTCCCCTTCTGTCAGGGGAAGGGTGGGGCATGGGTGGTCAGGAGCCCTCCCCAGCCCAGGGTCTGGGACAACCATGGCTATGACTTACCCTGGCAAATGGGCTTGTATACACTGGCTCTTTGTTGAGCTCTCTCCCTTGCTCTGAATTTTGATGTAGTTTGGCTCTTTGATGATAAAAGGCTGCTGGCTCCTGTTATGAGATATCCATATTCCTTTACGTGAAGGGCAGTGGCCCAGTGATAGACCACATACTTTGCACGCAAATGGTCCCAGGTCCAGCCCCTGGGTATCTCCAATTAAAGCATCTCATAGAACACGTTGGGAAAGGCCTGAGATGCTGGACAGTCTGTGCCAATCAGAGTGGAGAACACTGAGCTAAACTGATGCAATGGTCTTGCTCAGCACAAAGCACCTTGCATCCCCCTTGTAACAGAATATTCTGTCAGGGGTCCACCAGCATGGTGCCCTGCCCACTGACACCTTTCCTGGTGCCCACCAAGTGTTTTGAGAAAGTGGGTGGGGCCAGTGGGGGCTTTTGCCTAGAAAAGTTTCTGATTGTCCACTGGAGATTTGATTGGCTTTGCAGATTTTTTAAAACGTTGCTTCGGCCGCAGCTGCTAACACAGCACAAAGATCTTCGTTATGTGATCGAAGGTGTACTGCAGCAGCCATTTCATCACCGGCTTAGGGTTGCCAGGTCCCTTTCACCAACCGGAGGGGAATGGGAGGGACGTTCCGGGAGTGGAAAGTGATGTCCCCCCCCATTCCCCCCAAAACAGTGACATTGTGCATGATGTGCCTGCGTCACCCAGAAGTGGCGTTGGCACATCTGTGACAATGGGGGCAACCCAAAAGCCAGAGCATCATCCCCAACGTTGCCAACATGCCAACATCACTTCCGAGTGACTCAGGCATGTCACGTGTGATGTCTCTGTTGGGGGAGGGGATTCCCTCCCACTCGCCAGCTGGCTGGCAGCAGGCAGGAGCCCATAAAATCAGGGGAATCCCCAACCCCACCAGACAAATGGCAACCCTAGGCTGGCTCCACTTCCTGCAGCGGCCATTTTGTGGCTGCACCTTTTGCACACTGTTTCAGAATTCCAAAGGTGCCTGCAGGCTCAAAATGGTTGGGGGCCCCTGCTCTAAGCAATCTATATGCACTCTGTGGGGATTAATGTTACTTTCTGGAACTCATACTCATAAACCATTAAATTGCCAAAAAGCTGAAATCATGAGAACCATGATGAATTAGTGGTTTCATGTTAGCTTTCTGAGTACTTGCAAAATAATCCTTGTCTTACTGTAAGCAGAACCCCAGGGGGACTGAAAGCATATTGTTAAATCTAAACTTATCTCAGTTTAGTCAGTGTCTGGATTGGAGACTGCTTAGGAGCTCCATGGAAGGAAGTACAACTATCGTAAGTTAACAAAGTTTTAAAACTCTGTTCCAGAGTCAGCAGGACAGTCATCACTTCTGACTTCATGAGCTAAGTTTATAAGAACAAGAAGGCTACACATTTTCACTTCAATATTTTTTTTAAGTTATGATCAGGAAAAAGGTAAACTAACAGAGATAAGCAATTCTCCCACTGACCTGATTAAATGTGTCATGGGAAAGGGAGTCACATGTTCATATCCGACACAGGATAAGGTCTTTTTTAATACAAAAAATGGTACATGCAGATGAGGAAAGCCCTTCACCTCCTTCCTTCACTGCACTCCGGTGTTTGAAGCGTTCCCCCCGCCCAGTTCAGCTTCAGTACCAGTAGGGAGGGGGAATGGAAGAAAAATGCTTCAAGCAACACAGTTTGGTGAGGTAAGGATGGGGAGAACCCAGGGCATAGCCATCCTCTCCCACATATTCCATTTTCTGTAAAGGAGGGGGGAAATCAGGCTCCACCTCAGGGTTTAATCCTGCATATAGTGGCCTGAATAGGGAGGCGCTGTGGCACAGCGGTAGAAAGCCTGCTTTGCATGCACACAAATCCTTTGAAATGGCTCATTTGTGTTCGGGTTTCTTTGCTTGAATTTCCTAAATCAGTCATAACTGTCATGGATTTGGTAAATATTGGCTCAGGTCCAACAGGGCAGATTTCAGGAACTTGATGCAGTGCTGTATGCTCCACTGAATTGTGGATGTGCTTAACGAAAGGAAGGAAGTCTTAACTCCTCCTGCACATCAAAGATTGTTTGAAAGGAGAATAAGCAATCAGGATTTTCACAGCAAGTTTTAGCCCTGATTTTGTTATCTGGAAATATGAGCCCTGCCATTGAACCCTCTCCTTCTAAATGCGGAATTATAAATTGCAGATTGCTGCATCGCAATTCTTGTCTTCTGTCCACCCCCATGATATTTTACCCTCTCTTTATGGGGGGGGGGGAGTGGATGTGTGAAAGGTTGCTGAGATATAAAGCCCCAACAATTTTTTAATGCACATACAAAGCTCTATATAAGCAGGGACTGCACTCATTGACTTCAATGGCAGAAAAGTTCCAAAGTGGTCCTAACATAGTAGCCCATGACTACAAGAGCTGCATGATTTTAATATTGTTTGTGATTTTCCAAATTGCACAAAAAAGCAGCTCCTTATATCTCAAATGAGTACTGCCCATAGGAAGCAGAGAACATATTGCATCCTTACAACTGAGAACCTGGATGCCTTAAGGCAAAACACACGGGTCAAAGTCAAATGGTGCAATGAGGAGCAGAATCACCCCCAAACCAATAACTGCTGCACCCCAACCATTTGGCCTGATTCAAAAACTAGACAACGACCTTGCTAGTCAGCTAGGTGAAGCCCAGATTCTTACAACTGTACAGCTTCTCGACAGGGAGGCTGAGTGGCAGTGGCCACCAGCAGCACACAAGGCTGGCAGCAAGAGATCTCTGCATTAGGTGGCACCCTTTGTTGAACCATGGCTGGGTATGGTGAATATAACGTTGTACCTCCAGAAGCATTCAGTGAAGCATAATTGGCTGCAAATCCCTCTGAGGCTGTGTCGCGATTTGTTACAAAATACAACATCAAAGTGCTGCCGCTACTGGTAACAGATGGTGGAATTGACCTCCCACAGTACCTGTACCAAACCAGTGACAAATAACAGATGTTTATTTATTAGATTAAATGCATATTATACACCAGTTGGGAAAAAAATCAATATTTATATGATGGTGGTGGTCCTGAATTACTGCATATCAGCTTCTTTCTACAGTCTCAAATTCTAGTCTTTTGAGAGAGAAAGAAGAGTTCTGTTTATCCTCCCCATGCATAACTTTACAATGTCTATTATATCTCCATTCAGTCATATTTAAAAGCGCTGAATTATTGAGTTTTTCCATGTAGAACAAATATACATCAACAGGACTGCTCATAAATATTATGCATCAAGG